GTAGCCACCCTCAGCCCAAGGCAGACCCCTGAGTTCCCTCCAGCCCCTCAGACCAGGAAACCGTCTGGCCAGGCTAGCTTGTATCTCAAGCCCTGTGAACTTTTTCCCACGGGGCCCAGGCCACTTCCTGTTGCCCCGCAGGCACGGCTCCCTAATATGGGCCTGGAGGGCCGGCTGGGACCACGGGCTGGGAATATACGCTGGCAGGAGGCCAGCCCTGGATGTGTGCCCTCTGCCATCAGGACCCAGAGGGTCCCGTGCTGCCCTGGGAAGCAGGGCTTTTGGGCAACCAGGATGTTCTGACAGGAAGGCCTCTGGGCAGGACGTGCGCATGGGCCAGCACTGGGGCAGCTGCGGACTCCCCAGCCCCTCCCTTCCTGAACAGTTGGCACCTCCAGTGTGGAGATGTCTATACCTGGGGAAGGATCAGGGCCTGGCGACCACAGGGACATGTGAGGCCTGGGACCCCATAGCACAGAGGGAGGCAGGGGGGCCACACAGTGGACCAGGCACCAAGGCAAAGACTCCTGCAGCCTAGAGAGCCAGGAGTTCTCCCGGGACCCACACCGCTTGTCCTCAGCCACAGCACAGGACAGAAACCCATCCAAAGCCTGAGAAGGAGCAGGGCTAGGCCTCTGGACTCCAGGGCCGCCCCTGCTGTGAAGCCTGCTGTGGAACCTGCCCTGCAGAATGCCCCCCACCCAGACCCTCACTCGCCTTCCAATGGTCTTCCTTCCCTGAGCTGAAGCCCAGCTCCCTGAGTTGCCAGCCTTAACCTCAGCTGCCCTCACCCCAGCCCGGCCAGGTTTCTCCCTCACCCAGTCTCCCTTGATCTGGCCAGGGAGGGGGTCCCCACCCAGCCCCACCCAGACGTGCCCTCGGCCCCAGCTGCCACTCCAGATGTGTCTGCAGTGTGACAGCAAATTCCTGCAGGGACAGAGGCCAGCTCTGACCAGGGGGGAGAAGCAGCTGTCCTCCACAGAGATGGAGGTGTCTGGGGGGCTGAGCCCAGGGTCACAGACCTGAGGTCACAAAGCTCCCACTTGGTCTGGAGCAAGCGGACAAGGAGAACTTAGAGATGGGTCACCTGGAAAACCAGCGACCACTGGCAGAGCAAGGAGATGGGCAGACGGACAGCCAGACTGTGCAAATGTCAGAAATCACAAGAGCCTTCTTGGGGTCACTTACTCTGTGCCTGACAGGATGTCACCTGCTGATCCCTCCGAGCGGCCTGGGGGAGGCCCAGGCTGCGCCCACTTCCCAATGTTAACTCTGCCTCCCAAGGACCCCACTTCTGCTGCTCTCCAGCACCTGCTCCTCACCCCCAGCTGGGCCCCCAGGACCCACAGGTGCCAGGCTGCTGCTGTCCCTGCAGAGGGACCACCTTGACCCTTGATGTGTGGCTGGAAGCTTCCCCTCCTGATCTCGGTCCCTCCCCAGAAATGACCCCTAAAGACCATTCGTTCCACTCCTCATTTGACAACTGGGAAAACCTCCTCCCAAAAGAAATGGCCGTAGCACCTGGCCTTGAATCCCGGCGTCCACCCCTTCTTCAGCCTTAGAACAGCTGATCGAGAGGGACTCAGAAGCCACGGTTCTGCCCAGCCAGGGTGGGGGTCACATAGGGCAGTGGCCGTGAGTGACCTGGAGTCTGGCACAGGGTGAGGGGCAGACATGTTCATCTGTCCTCCGGGGCTGGTGGGGTACAGAGAGGGCCCCAAGGACAGGAACCTGGAGCAAATTTGCATTGGAACTGTCACCCCTCCTGCCCCTCCTCCCAGCACCGTGCCCTCTGTGCTGATCACCTGGACAGGCAGGAGCCCTGTGGCATCCTGGGACACTACAAGGGAAGGTTGGCTCCCAGGACACCTGGAAGCCTCTGTCCATTGAACCTCTCACACATGCACGTGGACAAGCAGGGATCCCGAAAAAGAAGCCACCCATGGAAAGCCACCAAGCAATGAGAACACAGCACTTCTGCCCTTCATCCAAGAGCCTACCTGCACCCCACACCCCAACAGGGTTCCTCCTAGGAAGAGCTGCCCTTGAAAACCTGCTTCTATGCAGGGTACCCTTGCCCCTGTGCCCCACTGGGCACAGTGCTGCCATCCCAGTGGGCCCCCCCCCCCGGCTTGGCAAGAGAGGGATCTGGGAGGCTCGCATAGCACCTGACCCCTGTGGCATGCAACCAACCCCCCAACCCCGATCCTCCAAGCCCCCTTACAATAGGTTGGGTCTGCATCTCCTGGTGCCTGGGAGGTACTCAGATTCCTACACTGTAGCCACCTTCTACTAAGGATGCAAACAGACACCAACTAGGGCACCTGCTGGTCAGTTGAGTTAAGTGCCCGCCTCACTGCGCCCTGGTCTTGAGAAGTATCCCTGTTCCCTACGCTCCCCATGCTCACGGGTCCTGAGGGTGGGGGGCTGGGAAATAAGGATGTGAGGATGAGGGG